AAACACTCTGGTCCCCAGCATTTCAGATAAAGGATACTCAACCTAGATGTACTTTCACACAGGTTCTCTTGTGTATAATTTCAGGGGCCTTTACATGTGAAAAATGTTCTCATTTCTAAAGTGAACATTTTGCTAAGCACTGAGGAGACAAGGAAGAATCAACCCTGCAACCTTAACTTCCCTCCTCCAGTCTAACAGGGCAGATGGAAAACAACCGAAATTTGCTGTGAGGCAAGATCTTAACTACAAAAGGTCATAGGGATGCTGAGGCCCATACTAACTACGGTGTTACTCAAAGCAGACTACGGTCTACTGGGTAACAAACAACTCCCAAATCCTGGTGGCCACAAAAAAACAAATGTTACTTTTTTTTACTTCTGCGTATAAAATGTATACATGGGGGAGTGGGGATTCTGACAGGTCACTCAAGAACCCAGGTTGGTGAAGATTCAACCTGACATGTTTTTAGGAATACTGAAACAAGAATATGCAAGGTTGTGAGTTAGGCACTGCCTTTCAAAGCTACATGGGACAACACAGATCAGTTTGCTCACATTTTATTAACCAAACTAGCTTCCTGGCCCCACCTAACTTAAAGGTGTTATACAAAGTACTCCTTCTAAGTCTCTGGGACAAAAAGAAATGAGATATTTATGACCAACCCTAATGAACATGGGAGATGGGATCCAGTTGTTGGGAGTTTTCCTGAAATGTCCCTCCCAACATCAATTCCCAGTTAATAATTCTCTTTTGTGTCCACACAAAGGCCATCTCCTGAGAAAAGCCCTCTGTGTTCATTCACACTTACATTTACTTGACATTTCATTTTCATAAATCCCTGCCTGGTGGGTGCCGACAATGGAGAGAGAAATGGCAAGGTTCCTGTCCTCAGGGAGCTCACAGTGTCCCTGAATCTAAGGTACACAAGGGCAAGCAAATGACTGCAATGTGGTTGGAAAATCATTTGATGGGTGCTTGCATGGTACAATGAACCACAAAAAAATAGTCAGGAAAGGCTTTGTGGGAGGTCAAGTAAATTCTGCCCCTGGCAGAGTTCACAATGTTCCAGTCAGAGAAAGTGAGAGCAGCCAGTTTTTTGGGGGAGGGGAGTGGGAGGAGCACTAAGACAGAGAAAAGTGTCTGAAACAATAGCATGAAGTCACCCATGCCTGCTGAGAAGAGTTAGGCAGCACAGAACCCCCACTTTTGTGGGCAATCCTAAAAGACAAGTCAAACGAGTAGCACTAGGTATTTTGTCATGAGCAGGCTGCTGGGATGAGAGCCTGGTGTTCTGGTGGCTGCAAAAGCCTGGATTCCTTTTGCTGAGACATGTTGAAGGATCTCACTTCTTTAGGATGTGTTCATGTCCATCCTGGGCTGCTCCTTCATCAACATGTGATGAGTAAGTGTAAAGATGACATGCACGTCCCTTCTGAATTTTTTTTCACCAGACAAAACCAAAAACACTTTTACCTCTCTCTGCAAACCTCCACTTAGAATCATTGAACTCAGGCTTCATGAATGCAACCAGGAGACAGAAGCAGGGACGTTGATTGCTGTTGCCTTGGAAAGGGGGATCCATCCATTCAGGGATCTGCAGTTTCCATGGGAACAGCACTCAGACTGTTGCTGGCCCCTAGGTCTGGCAGAATGTACTGTAAAGAAAATTGGGGACAAATAAAAGAGAGGAGCAGAAAGAGACATTGAGGACTTTGAAGGCATTTGGCCCAAAACTTTGGGGAGAGGCTGCTTCATTCTCCTAGCATGCCACATGGGCCATGTGGTCCTAACAGCATGAACATGAGAAGTACATGCATAAACACAGTTCTTACAGACTAAACACCATCCTGTGCAAACAGATGCCAAGACAAAGAAGGCAGGATTGGTAAAAGGTAAATTTCAACACCTAAATCAGAAAAGACTATGCCTTCTACCCCATCCATGCCAGACCAGCATCTTGGTATTATTATAATTGAAAATAATGACCCAAGGTTGACCCAAGAAACATGGTGTGGTGTGTATTTCATATACACTGTCTATACTCTTCACAGCAATCCTACAAGGTTGATATCAACACACTCATGTACATATGAAGGAAATGGGGCTTTGCTTGGTGTAGATGGGATCTGAACCTGGGCCTGACTCCTCACCGTAGCTCCTTATGCACAAAACAAACAAGTTCCCAAAGACAGTGAACATCCTAGCACCAGTCTTAAGAAACACCTTGGATTCTTTTGGATTTGGCATGGGAAGCATACCCAAGCAGAATGGCATCAGCACCATCCGTTAGCTATACCAGAGGCCCTGGAGGTACCATACTATCTGACCTCCTGGTTATGGATGTACCATGGACCACATATTTGTGCCTCCCCACCCCAATTCAAATTATGAAGTCCCAGTCTCCAGTGTGATGGTATTTGGGTTTGCTTTTCACATTTTTTTTTCAGTTACTTGTGGTCAATTGTGGCCTAAAATATTTATTCTTTTTTCTGTGCAAACTGTGTTCAAGCCCTTTGAAGCTATTGTTACAATTTTGTCATGAACCTATAGTGTTTGCTGAGAGGAGCTATAATGAAAAAGTGATCAGGTTACGTGTGACTGATGTTGGATGAAGTGCCCTAGGGGGTTATTTAATCTGGTCATTCTTTCCATGTTTTTATTAACCACCAAGTAAGAATTTCTGTTGTTCTGCAAGCAAATTGTTTTGAAAGCATTTCACTGACTTACTTTTGCTTTCTCCACCCTTCCCTACACCACATCCCTCACCTTCAACTTGGACATTGACCAGCCACATCAATTCAGCAAGGAAGCTCCCCAGGCCACCTACTCTCCTCCCAGACTCTGGCAGGAGCTGTACTAGAGCAGTGGCTGGCATAATCTGTTAGATAATTTTCACACATTTTCTGATGGCAAGGCACCTAGGGCCAGGAGCTTCCAGTTCATGATGGATCAAGGCTAGGTTCCAGAGGACACAACAAGATTGGGTCACTTTTAAAACCCTTGATGACCCCAGGAAAAGAAAGAGAGAGGATAGTCCCTGAGTATCAAGGGAAGGAGGACCCCGAAAGCATTTCTGTGGTTCTGTCTCAATTCCCTCTTGCTTGGCCAGGGCCGTGGGTGAAACTTCACTGGACTTTGCTGAGCTGACAAAGTCTTTTGGGTCCTGCCCCATTCAGGGCACAGCCTCTACCCTGATCTTGCTCAGGAGTACCAGACAGGTTCATGTGTCTGCTGGGCTTTAACTCTTCCGTCCGTGGGATCCAGGTCTTCACTTAACTTTCATTCATCCAGTTTCTGTTTGTTGAATGCCAAAGGGATTTGAAATCAAAATGCCAGGACTTAGAACCCAAGTTCTCATTTACTGTCATGGAACCCTTGGTGAAACCCTTACACTCTCTGCCTTGGTTACTCATCAAAAATGTGATGGTGAGGCAGGAAAATGGAGCCTTCTGCTTCCCTCTCATGTGTGACCTTAACTCCCTTCACATACTGCCCTCAGTCCTCTATTGCTTATATCCACATGACTCCTTTTTTTTTTATTTACTTATCTATTTTTTTTCCTTTTTCTTTTATTATTCATATGTGCATACAAGGCTTGGGTCATTTCTCCCCCCTGCCCCCTCCCCCTCAATACCAGCAGAAACTATTTTGCCCTTATTTCTAATTTTGTTGTAGAGAGAGTATAAGCAATAATAGGAAGGGACAAGGGTTTTTGCTGGTTGAGATAAGGATAGCTATACAGGGCATTGACTCACATTGATTTCCTGTGCGTGGGTGTTACCTTCTAGGTTAATTCTTTTTGATCTAACCTTTTCTCTAGTACCTGTTCCCCTTTTCCTATTGGCCTCAGTTGCTTTAAGGTATCTGCTTTAGTTTCTCTGCGTTAAGGGCAACAAATGCTAGCTAGTTTTTTAGGTGTCTCACCTATCCTCACCCCTCCCTTGTGTGCTCTCGCTTTTATCATCCACATGACTCCTGTAGGAGCAGAGAGGGCCATCACCAGCCCTGTGTTTGACATCCTGGTCCTATGGCAAATGTGCACCAAGCTAGAAAGGGGAGCGGTGACAGGGCAGGGAGGGATTTGTTGTAATGGGCACAGGCCACAGCCCCAAGCCAAGGAAGGTGAAGAGGAGACAGAAAGGAGGAAAATGAAGGACAGAGGGCTTAATCTACATGTGCCATGGGCCCCCTTCCTCATCCAGCAAAGTCTACAAGCTCTGCTCAGAAAAACATTTTTCATTCTGTGTGATAAAGTATATGGTGTTACAAAAGGAAACCAATCATATTGAAATGAAATGTCAAAATATTAGAAAACAAGTTTGTGAGCTAGTAGTTCACATGCTTCTGCAGTCAACTGTAGTCACAAGTGGTTATCTACAAAACCGCATACCACTGGAATGATGGGGGATAGCTGCATAGGGTAACAGTATAGTCAACCCTCTGTGTTCATGGTTATGCGTCCACGGATTCAACCAGCAGCAAGTGAAAGTATTTGAAAAAATTGTATCTGCACAGAACATGTACAGACTGTTTTTGTACCCTAAACAATGTAGTATGGCAACTAGTTACATAGCATCTACAACCTATTGGGTATCATAACTCATTAGTGTTGATGCTATACAGGAAGAGATGCGTAGTTAGTAAGCAAATACTATACCATTCTATATAAGTTACTTAAGTGTGCTCAAATTTTGGTATTCCTAGATCCAAGTCTGCAAGAATACCAATATATAACTCCAGTATGAACATTTTTATTGGAGGCTGAGTCTCAGGCTCTGCTAACACTACTGTGGTTTGTCACTTACATTCTTATTTGAAGGAAACACTAATTCTGGGTAGAGTTTCATGAACTTAAAGATGTGGTTTTTCTCATCATCCAAGTTCATGCACCCATATTAAAACTGAATTCTCATGTTGAGGGCTGGTGATTCTCTCCCAGACCTCCAGCACTGAAAATGTTGCCATCTGTACTAAGCTGGTTCTCTTTCTCTGTTCTTCAGCCTTGCATGAATTCCCCAATGACATCTTTACCAATGAGGATAGAAGACAAGGAGCGGTGGTCCTGCACGTGCTCTGTGTAAGTACCTCTCTCATACCTCTGTCTCTGGGTTCAGAGGGCAGAAGGTAGGTGGGAAGCTGAGGTGCCTGCAGAGTCTCCCCTCCCTTCTATCCACACGCCTCATAGGAGCCTTTAGGACCCTCCAAATGCAGTATCTTGTAAAGGCTCCAGATTTGTAATCTGGAAAACATCTGTGTGAAACTTTCCTTCATATTAGTGCCTAAGTGTAGACTCTGACAGAAAATAGACTTGCTCTTTATTATTTACCCTAATTCTCTCTCTGCTCACACACCATCCTTTTTCTAAACAGCCTATCTATGATGCCACAGTATTTCCCCCTTACCATCCTTTAGTTTTCTCCATGTGACCTGTCATTATACAGTTATATGCTTGTTGTCTGTCGACCTCACTCACACATAAGCACTATGAGAACAGGGACTTTTGTTTATAGCTTCATTCCCACACCATTCTTAACACATGTTGGGGACAAAGTATTTGCTAAATCAGTAAATGTATATGGCAGCTAGCACAGTGTCTAGCACATAGTTTGTGATCAATAAGAGCTTGTTCCCTCCCTTCTGGCTTTATAATGTCCACCATTGTCCTAGCATCTTCCTCTGCAAACCCAGTGAATCTAAGGTCTCTGTTTTACCTTGTCCCCACTTGGAGAATTTGGGAAGGGTATGGGTTTGAAGATATATGTAAGGAATGATTGCAGAGCCAGCAAGCTCAAGCCAAGGCCTAGACTAGGCATGTCAATACTTTCCATCTCTGACATTTACTTTCCTTTGAAACACTCTTAATTCCATTCTGGGTATTCATTGCTATGACACAAACTACCCAAATTTAGTGACATACCCAGTCACTATTTTGCTCATGGGTTCTCTGGGTCAATTGTTTAGAAAGGACATGTTGGGAATGCTGTTCTATGTGGATGGGACAATTCAGATGACTGCAGCTGGAGCCTCTGGTGCTGGAGGAGCCCTTCCAAGAAGGCTTCTCTACTCCCATGTCTGGGGTGCTGGCTGGGAACAGGCCTAACTGGGACCATTAACCAGAGCTTCTGCATGTGGTCTTTCCAGTGTGGAAGTTCCGACTTCCATGTGGCAGCCTGGGACTCAGAGAGGGTAAGTTATGGCGAACAAGTAGGAAATCTCATGGCCCTGTGCGACTTGGCCTTGAAGATTACACAGCATCATTTCCATTGTATTTCTTGCAGTCACAAACCCACCATGATACAGGGGATAAGTTAGGGAATTTAATTTTCTATCCTCACATGGAGATGATCAATAGACACATCCTGGGCTCTGGAGACAGATCCAGAAGTGAGTCTGAGGCCCACTTCTGCTGTCCTTGCTTTATGTGTGACTTCTAACAAGATGATTCACCTATCTGGACCCATGAGCCACCTAAGCTTGACCTCCCCTTCCTGGTCAATGCAATCAACTCTTCAATTCTTTCTCTACTCCCACTCTTATCTGGTGGGGAGCTGGGTAGGGAAGCATGAGCTATCTCACTTTAGCTAAGATGTTCTCTAAAAGAACCAAGTGAATAAGAAATTTGCAACACTCTCAGCCCTCCCTCCTCTTCCAGAGAGTCATATGCACTAAGCAATTAATATGGATGCCTCCTTCGGCACCACAGAGGCTACCCTGTCACAAGGCTGAGGAGACCCAGGCACTGAATAGGATCCAGAATTCCCTGGTAACCATTTGCGCCCTGTCACCTCAACATCTGAGATATGAGATTTCCACTCTCAGTCCAAACAGTGAGTGCTTTCATCCTCCCAAAGCAATGCTGTTGCCTGTAGCTGGCAGGTCCCTTCCTCTTCACCTCTACCTCCCCAGCTAAAAGCCAAAGCCTTTGCATTGTCCTTGCTTTTCATGAGCCCAGGATACCCAGCAAGGCCTCTGCTGGCTGAGGTAGTGCAGTTCCAGGCTAGCATGAAGACAAAGTGGCCAATAATGGGAAAAATCATCCTCAGACATTTTCTTACAAGAGTGGACATCAGTCTGTAGACTAACACTTGGTAATTCTTGGTCTCTAATGCTCCTGTTAGCTCCTGTCCTTGAACCTGAACTTTAGAATCCACAGGATAAGCAATAAAAAGGGTCAAATTCAATGCCCATTCCTTCACGAAATCACTCCAGTTGCACAGAACCTCAGAATTCTCTACCCACATATTCCCAAACTTGGTGCTATCTACACAAGCCTCCCTCCAGGGTCCACCCCTTGGGGGGAAGAGACCTAGATGATGGTAGCTTGAACAAGTTGCCTGGCCTCCACATTCATGTGTTTTCCAAAGTAGAAGCAGGTGGGCATGGCAGGAGGATGGGGCTCTCATCTACATGGCACAGCCAAATATTAGGGTGGACCTTCTGATGCGTACCAAAGGTGAAAGTCAACTCTAACCCACTACAGGCTCCTCCTCCAGGACATAAGCTTCACGAGAGAAGCTTACTTGTACTATGTTTGGCACATGAACCACAAAAGTTGCATAGTTGTTATTGGTTCAGTGCAGAAATGAATGATTTTTTTCTATCCTCTTCACTTTCAGTGTCACCCAGCACATGGAGGATGCTCAAGGAATGAATGTCATGTGAATGTCACTGCATGTAATAATTACTGTGAGGGCAAATACCATCGTAGGGGCCAGCGGGAAACAGACTAGTCAAAACTGCAAGAAACTAAGTACATATTCCCCACACTCACATCTAGAAAGCATTTCCTGAGCCCCTGAAGTGTAGTAGTGCTGGTCTGGGCCCTTCTAGATGGCAGAGAAACATCTTCACCCAGTGTCTTGTGAAGAGAAGCACTATGGTCAGCACATGCCATGTACAAAGTGATGGCCATGGCCTTTACTGCCTACTGTGGGTCTCAGAGAAGGCCTCCAGAAAGCTGAGGTAGTGCTGTTTATTTATTTATTTGCTGGCAGTATGGGGGTTTGAACTCAGGTCCTTGTACTTGCTGGGCAGGTACTCTACCACTTAAGCCATGCCTCCAGTCCATGGTGCTGATCTTGAAGGGTAGGCAGGTGGTTTCCAAAGGAGAATGGAGAGAAGGGTTTCCAAGTAGGAGTGTGAAGTACCATGGTCAAGGATATAGAGCTGAGAGTGGGTGGCTTATCCCTATAATCCCAGCTACCAGGGAGGCAGAGATCTGGAAGATCACAGTTCAAGGCCAGGCATGCCAAAAATGAGATCTTATCCAAAAACTAAATAAAAAACAAAAAAAGGCTAGAGGCATGGCTCAAGTGGCAGAACACCTACCTAGAAAGTGTGAGGCCCTGAGTTCAAACCCCAGTACCACAAAAAAAGAAAGAAACAATATAGAGACATGGGAGTCCAGGGTATCTAAAGGGAGAAAATTCCCAGGATGTGAGTGGTAGAGAGTGAGAGTACATGAGGGTGTACAGGCAGTGGGTGGGACTTCACATGGCAGACACTCCACCATGGCTTAGCTGCAAAGATGGAAGTGGTGAGGGGCATGTTCTCAATGCTGCTACTGCTAAGTCATCCTTCCTTGCCTAAGGCGGGGGCTAAATGAGATGAGACATGCCCAGAGGTGACCACAGTGGTCTTCCCTGCTGTAGATTGAGAAAGGCCTACGCAGGCCACCAGAAAAGGCTCAGGACCATTTGGGCAGTGAATCCCAGAGTCCCAGGCACACCAAATAACACCCCAGACCTGGGAGGATCTGTCATAAGTGAACATCATCCAGCCATCAAACCCACGAAATTTTAGTTAACAGCTAAATACCCCAAACAACTCTCAAGCTGCCCCAGAGAAAGTCATGGAATTGTCCTTTTTCTTTCTTCTTTTTTATTAGTGTTTAGTAATTATATAAAGGAATTTCAGTGTGATATTTCCCTACATGTGTATAAGGTACATTAATTATATTCACTCCACCTATTACTCTTTATTATCCCCACCTTTAAAAAATTAATGCACTGTGGTCATATTCACCTCTGTCTTGAAGTGGGATTAACTGGCCATAATCAGAGATCTCCAGAAGTGCCAAATGAATTCCAATCCTCTTGGAAAACCTGGTCAAACAGCATTTGCATCCAAACTCCTGCTTCCCATACTGTTTGGACCCCAGGAATTTCCTTTTCACGTAAGGCCTGTACAATCTCAGATAGGTACAGGTCTGAGGATGCAGGTGTTTCTGGGGACCCCTGTCATAGTCTTTTATATCTCAGATGTCCAAGCTTGCTTCTGCTTTTCTTTCATGTACATACTTCCCTCTTTTGTGGTTGATTTGTGAAACTCAACACAACCATTTTTAGTTCAACTTGCTGAACACTCCAGCTTTAATTTCCCCTTGGATCTTTCTGCTTTTGTGGATTCGAAAATCCCTAAGCCCTGAGACTGCATTTCACAAAAGGTTTGTATTCCTTCCAACTGTTCTTCATGTGTGTGTTCCTTAGAAGTGGAGAAATCCATGATCTTTACAATTTTTGTCAACAAAGAATAGCTCCCAGAAAACACACTTGTTTTAGAGGTTGCTTTATATCCCATCTTTCATAACATTGAGACATTAAAAGCTGAATTTCCTGTTGGTGAGGAAATTTGCACCCTTTATAAACTCACTGGGCCTGCCCCAAAGAGAGAGACGCCTGTGAATAATTTTCTAGACCCGTGATTTGTTTGCAATTTATAAATATCTCACAGAATTTTGCTAATTGTCCTGCATGACATGGATAGATGAATCTTTGAGATTACCAGCCAAGCGATGCATTTTCTCTTCTAGTAAAATGAAGTTTTACATAATCAATATTTGAGATTCTCAAATGAGTAAGGGAAGCTTTGTACCCTTAGTAGATCAAACTCCACAACAGGAATAAATACTCTCTGTGCACCTTGTTAGGTTTCAAAAGTATTCTTCCTAGCTTTGAGGTTTTCTTCCATTTTAATATAATTCCTCTTTTCCAGCAGCAGATGTTTCTATATGCTTGTATGTTTAGTGGCTTAAAGTATCACATATCCTTCTGTTTCTTTGGCTTTGGAACTCAAGGG